CCGCAGTTTGGTGGGCTGGGGATTGGAGAGACCAAGCACTGCCCTGGCTGGCAATTGGAGGGACCGGCGTTTGACGGCTGGCAGGTGCGCGACCGTGAATTGAACGGCTGGCGGCTGACCTGGTACCGAGGGGAAAAGCCTTTGACTGAGAGGTTTCTATGCCTTGTTTCTAAGGGGATTCAGAGGGTATTGTTTGGGTGCCACCCAAGATATGGGTGACCGGACCATGGTTTGGTGGGCTGGGGATTGGCAAGGCCAAGGACTGCCCTGGCTGGCGGTTGGAACAACTGGCGTTTGCCGGCTGGCAGGTGCACAACCATGATTTGATCAACTGAGGGCTGACCAGGAACCCATTTATATCCCTATCTATATGCAGTATATATATTTAGTCGTGAGTCATCATCATAAAGTGATGATTCAAAAGCAAGTAGAATATATAACATAATATTATGTGGAAAAGAAGAAGGATGAGGAAGGATCAAGGGGAATTGAGATGGAGAGGGGGACCAAACTGCATCGCATGGGGATGCGTGTGCTGCAGCTAGGATACAATATGCAGTACATTACTGTAAACAGGTTCAGGGTTACAGCACCTGGTTCCTCGCAAAGTAATCCTTCCATTGATAGTGGATCCTCTGGATGACTGTTTGCTTGAGGCCCGCGGCCGAAAGAAGGTAAGGCACAGCCGAGCCATGGCCGAACGGGTCGATGGACCAGCCGGACTTGGGCGCCACGTCCAAGTGTTCGTCCAGCCAAGAGTGGCCTGTGCAGACAGTATTATTTCATGATACCTTAATACAGTAATAGAGTAAATCGATCAAAGGAAAAACTATAATGAAAACAAAAATAGAGTACTGCTGTACATGGTACACCACATATCTGTACAGTGCATTCATTCATTGCCTCACTCACTCAGAATTCCTTTATATTTTTGGCAAATGGCATCAATGAAGTGGGCACCAGCAGTCGCCCAACGTATTTCCACAATGATAACAACAACAACCACAAGGAAAATAAAGGGGATGCATTAATATATTACAGTATATGATGCTGTAGTCAATGCAAGAACTCTGCTTTGCATGATGTTCAATTTAATTCCAATACGTGCATGTACAGTATAATGCTGCCCTGCAGTAGCTGTAAATTATATAATGTAGGGGAATGCAAAGGGTTCACGCATTTACTGCATTATCATCATCATACTGTGTACTTTCAGCCTTCAAGGTAGGATAAGTGCTGCATCGATCTAATGAAATTGCTCCTCAAATAAGCCCGCAAGATATTGAGATTTTTGACACACGTTTGCACCTGCAAGCACCATAATTGCCAGTTAAGAAACCCTTCCTCTTCTTATTCATCACATTGTTCTTTGGAAAAAGAACTAAAGAAATAGAAAAGTTAAGCTCAGATGGAAAGTGATGGGCAGCTAAGATGATGCTCGGTACGATTCGGAGAGATGAAGATGAATGTCAGTTCAAAATTATTTATTTTGTTGGGATGAGCCGTGATGAAGCCAAAGAAACTAGACTTGAAAAATTCGGTTCGAGAATAATGACCATCAAATATAAACATAAATAAGTAAGTAAATACTGCCCGCGACGCGAAGAAAGCGGCACACAAAATGAAAAGACGCAGTTTTATGCATGGTGATTGTCCATTTGTATGCATGTCTCAAAGTAGTCATAGGCAATGTATGAGACAGCAAACAATCAAGAGGTTTCGTCCACCAGCAGAATCCCTATATATGGACGTTCCATGCATGTAAGAGGGTATACCAACAATGAGTGATATACATGGGGTTAAGGGAACTTGATATATGCATATTATTTGCATATATCACACATAGGTACCCCCTATCTTACTGAGCGAGTGAAGCAGCAGCAGAAGAAGCAGAATAGGGACATGGATAAATCCCATCCATGATGATGAGGGGGGCGGGGGGGGGGGTGAGTCTCAGGCTTCTTTGTCCTCATATGCATTCTTGCTGCTCGACTTTGAAATGAGACTTCTTCTCTTAATTGGTTGTGCAGAACAGAGACGATGATGACGACGAGATCCATCATACCGTATACAGTACATCAATCAACAGAATAAGAATATCGAAAACAAAAGCACTGTATGATACATTATCAGTACATTCATTCATTCACTTGCCCCCAACACTGTACATATTTTTATATAAACCAGCATATCATACAAATCAATCCTCTGGCCTCCAAAAGCACCATGTGACTGCATCTCGCCAACTATTCCATATATTAAACTAAAGTCAAGGATTCATCCTGAGCATGTATATAAAACAGAGCAGCATTCATGGTATTGAACAGGGGAAAAAATGTATATACAGTATATATTTAAATCTACTGTATACAGTATATCTAAATATATAAAAATGTAAGCCATGGTCCATCTGGAGCTTCAAAACTGAAAAAGTTACAAGCAAAAATGTAAAAACTTTTGAACAATCTTGAAAAAAATTTTACATTCTAAAGCATAAGTTTAAAAATTCCAATTAGATCGCTGCAAAATTGTATGAATTTTTAAAACATAATTTCGCATTACAATGCTGTATGCAAGAATCTTTGGGAAAGCTTCAAAATTGACAAAATTACCAGCAAACATGTGAAACTTTTTGAAAATCTCAAAAAACATTTTAAATTTTCAATTCGACTCAAAACAAAATATTAAATTATTCAATTTACAATTTTATTCATCTTTGGAAACATCTGTGTGCCTTTGAATGGGTGAGGAAAATTTTTAAAGCTTCAAAATAGACTATGTTACAGATAAGACTGTAAAAAACTTTTTTAAATTGGTAAAAAAGATGTTACATTTTGAATTACTGCTGACAATATTTCCAACTTAGATGACTCTCAAAAATGCATAAATTTGTAAAAAATAGTTTTTCACTACAATAGGAAAGAGAATTCATCATCAGGTGACCAGAAAAAGTTTAATTGAGCTAAAGTAGAAATCATAAATTCAAGATTCCTGATTTTTAAATATTTAAAATTTTAAAGCATTGTTCAAACTTTGAACAAAATTTGATTTCCATTGAGGTTTGCTACATATTCTTCAAAACTTTGAAAATGCTAGAAACCAAAATTTCAACATGAGTTTCTTCAGAGGTTTCTTCTTCTAAATTTTAAATGGAACGCCACAAACATATTCATAGACCACAGACTTAGGATGGAAACCTTTAACATCCTCAGTGTTAACTGAGGATCCTATAGGGGTCTGGGGGAACTTTAATAAGGACATCCTGTAACATGTGTCTGTGGCACCAACTTTTAGCAGGTTTTCCTTGGCATGGAAAAAAATCAGGGTGCAGTGAAATGGTTGCGGAGGTACCCAGTTCAATCCCACCCCTTGGCACATTTGTTTTTTAGAAAACGTTTCCTATTTTGATTTCAACTTCCTCCAGCCAAAAAAATTCCAAATTTGTAGAAATGCATTGTGCATCCAAGAAAAATTTTAAAATTGAAATTTCTCCAAAAATATTATGAGTTAAACTTGGAAGTCCAAAAATTATTTGTTTTCCAACCTTCTCAATATAAAAATTTACCATATGATTTCTGCTCAACGAAACTCTACCTTTTTTATAGGGTGGATGCGCAATGAAGTTTTGCACATTTCCCCATTTCCAACTTTGAAAAATTCCAAAAAATGACTGAGATATAAAAAAATGCGGACCTTTTTAAAAAAATTGAGTGAAAAATGGGAAAAATTCATTTTTAGATCTCAATTTTTAACTGATCAAATTGAAAACCCCATGTCATTGCAAATACAGCTGCAAAAAATTTTTCAATTCAGGAAAATAAAAAAAATCAATTTTTAAGTTCTTCTAGCCAAAAAAATTCCAAATTTCCAGAATTTCACTCAGTATGTAATGATGATTTCAAATGTATGTTATGTATGTATGTATGTATGTATGTATGTATATTTTGCTACATTGGGGCACTAACATAGAAAAACAGTGCAATGTTATGTCTATAATGTCATACAGCAATTCTTTTTTCAAATATAATATATAAAAATTTGAATTCCCAAGTTCAATTAGGGTGCAATTAGTAGTAGAGCGTCCACAGTGCAGAAGCTCTACTACTAGTTATGGTTGTGTAAGGTGTGTCTGTGGCCTAGGTGTTGAAGAAAAAAGTTATATGACCCCAAGTCGTTCAAGTCCAACGTCAAGTGCATGGCAGCCTATCCAGTTGAGGCATAGTTCATGGTGCAACAGTTCCTGGTTTGAATCCAGCAGCAGTCAGGAATTTTCTCAGCATAATCTATACAAGTAGAGGCTCCTGCAGGGAGTTCCCATTTCCTGTTTGCAAATTTTGCAAAAATCGAATTCTCTACCAAAACTACTTTTAAAAACTGTATATGAAGCGCCATGATGTTTGCCACATTTATTTTTTTTTTAATTTGGAAAACAGTTGAAAATTGACTGAATTACAATGAAAAACGCAAAAGGATTTTTCTAAAGCATACAAAAATTTCAAAAACATAATTTTACTTTTTATATTTTAACTGTCACATTTTCCATTATTGAACCAGACTAAAACACCTAAATTCTTAAATCATCCTCGCGCAAGTATTCCTGAAAAATCTTTGAAATTTTGAAAAAATTGAAAAAATGACAATGAGCTAAACTCAAAAAATTGGAATTTTTTGAAATTTTTGTTTCCTGTTTTTCCAAATTCAAAAATGTTAAACAAATTCAATTCACAACCAAAATTACTTTTGAAAACTTTATAAAATTTGCCATGATGTTTGCCTCATTTTATGTTTTAAATTTGAAAAAAGGTAGAATATTGAGTGAATTACATTGAAAAACGCAGAAACATTTTTTAAAACCATACTAAAATTGCGAAAAATAATTTAATTTTTCTAATTTTAATTGTCAAATTTTCCCATATTAAACCAGAATAAAAATACCTGAATTCCTAAAACATCCTTGCACAAATATTCCTGAAAATGCTTTGAAATTGAGAAAAATTGAAAAAATGACAATGAGCTAAACTGAAAAAGGTAGAATTTTGTGAAAATTTTGTTTCCCAGTTTTCCAAATTTAAAAATGATGAACAAATTCAATTCTCAACCAAAATTACTTTTTAAAAATTATAAAATTTGCCATGATGTTTGCCTCATTTTAAATCTTTAAATTTGAAAAAAGGTTGAATATTGAGTGCATTACATTGAAAAAAGCAGAAACATTTTTCAAAACCTTACAAAAATTGCAAAAAATTAATTTCACTTTCTTAATTTTAACTTTTCATTTTACATCAATAAAATAAAACAAAATCCTCTAAAATTTGCAAAACACCTCAGCACGTATTTTGGTGCACAATTTTTAAAATTGATAGAATATTAGAAAAATTAAAATGAGCTAAACTTGTAAAAAAGGAATTTGGTGAAAATTTGCTTTCCTGTTTTGCAAACTTTGAAAATTTACAACAAATTCAATTCCAAACCAAAATTACTTTTAAAAACTTTATGAGAAGCAACAAAATGTTTGCCTTATGTTACATTTTTAAATTTGAAAAAACGTTGCATATTGAGTTCATTAGATTGAAAAACGCAAAAACATTTTGCAAAACTGTACAAAAATCTAAAAAAATAATTTAACTTTTCTAATTTTAACTGTAAGAATTTTCATCATAAAAATGTCTAAATTTTCAAAACATCTCAGCACACATATTACTGCAAAATGTTTAAAATTGAAAGAATATTACAAAAATTACAATCAGCTAAATGAAAAAAAGCAGAATTAGTTGAATAAGGACCTTGTGTAACGTGTAGGGTAAGGTAGTTTGTAGCATAGGGTAGGTTGTAGTGTAGGGTTGGGTAGTTTGTAGTGTAGTGTAGGGGAGGTTGTAGTGTTGGGTTGGGTAGTTAGTAGTGTAGTGTAGGGTAGGTTGTAGTGTAGGGTTGGGTAGGTTGTAGTTTAGGGTATGGTACTTTTTAGTTCTACAATTTCATTAATTTTACCAATCATTGCTCAGGTGTGGCTGGGCACCCCCTGCTTGTTACTAAGAAAATAAAAAAAATTTATGCAGACGCTCTACTACTAGATGTGAAAATGATAAATTATTGATTAATTCATTGTAATCATGGGTTGCATTTCAAACAGAAAGTCAAAAATGAAAGAGAATTGCAACAGGCTTCAATAATGAAAACACACTAACCTAACCATTCAGACCAAACCAAATCTTCTTCACAAGAAATTTATCAACAGTATAGAAGAGAAAATTGAAAGAACCAACAATTTGAAGCCTGCATGCATAACTCACTTCAAATGTAAGATAAATAAGCAGAGAACACAGCTGGTTCAACATCTTTCAATTTGATGTCATTTGAATGGCAAAAAAATTTCTTATTTGAAAATTTGTTCTTAATACATGCATTAAATATGATAAAGCAACAAGTAGAAAATTTGAAGCATAAACCATTCATAATTTATTTCTGTAAAAATTAGAGAAATTTTATATTTGACACCAGTGAGTAAAAAGTGCTGGGAATCTTCTCTAGTTGCTCTAGCTCACAATTCAGCAGAAGAAAAGAACAATACTCTATTTGGAGGCAAATTATGGGTTAAAATAAATAAGTTTTACACTTTCATTTTAGACATGGGAAATTTTCTATGAAAATAGTTGGTCACTCTAAAGCAGAACAAAATTCAAATGCAGCATATGTTTGCTCAAATACTGTATAATGATAAAATTAAGACTCGTTGTTGTACTTTTTTCAACATTCTACTGCATATTCATCATTGTTGACAAGAAAAATGGCTCAATTTTAACCCAATGAGAATGAATAAAAAATTTGGTGATCAAGAATTGTTTCACACAACTTTTGACACAATCTTTTAGATTAATTAATGAATTAATGAATAAGTTTAAAGGTACTTCCCTGTCATATCTGTACCTACTTTCCTGTTATATCTGTACCTATTTTCCTGTTATATCTGTACCTACTTTCCTTTTATCTCTGTACCTTCCCTCTGACCAATTTAACCTGACCTAACTGTATATAAGGAACCTCAAATAGAAAGATTATATCGCAAGTTTGAACATATTCAAGAATTCTGACCAGATTTTGGGCTGCTATACACGAGGAGTCTAAAAAAAGTTATCAAACGGCCGGCATACGGTTGAGCTGAAAAAAAAAGATTTCTTGTTCATATAAAATCCCTCTGACCAATTTAACCTGACCTAACTTCACCTAACCGCCTCCCAAAATCAGTTTCAGCAGAATGTGGAAAAATAAAATTCACAGTTTCTGGTAGGTTGTTGCGTTTATGAACTTGTCCTAAAGATTTGTCTGGATGGTAGTTTGGTCTAGGAATGAGGTACAGAGATAACAGGAAAGTACCACTCTAGAGAATCCGTAGATTTTGCTAAAGGAATCTTTTTTGGACCCATGAGCATTTGAGAACTCCAAGTTTGTAAGCCTAGTCATGCAGCTGAGGCCAAAAACATGGTAGTTACGGGAACCATATTTTGTTCTGCAGTACTGTATACAGTAAATCTTTTTGGTCAAGCAAACAAAAATAACAACAAAAAGAACAGCTTCACAAAGGTCTCAGACAAACAGGCAAGCAACCCGACACTTTTTAAATACGGTACTATACTATACTATACTGTACTATATACTGTGCTCTGCAAAAGCTGTGCAAGTATACAGTAAGTATACGTAGAGTACTTACCCTGCACAAACTGGTCCACCATGCCGTACAGGGACACAGCTGCCTCGTCTGCCATGACCCAGCCGCCGGCTGCAATTTCCAGCCTCCCGTCCCGCACCAACTTCCGCACGTACTCCTTTTGTTCCTCCGAACACCTTCAATACAGTATAATAACAAAGGGTGAATTATTCAGTCCGTGCATTCAATGCATTAATAGTCTTCTCGCAGCACTGTATATCATGAGCCTCATTAAAAAAAACATTAATTAATTGAAACTTGGAAATGAAACACTACCTCTCAAAGAAGCGGCTGAAAAAGGACACTTCCGCAGTTGTGAATGATATGTTCGAATACGTTTCTACCCGCTTGACAAAGCCAGAGTAGATCTTGTTGACGTCATTTTGGTAGTCGTCATATGTCCTCAGCCACCCGGGGTCCAAGTGGGACCACATCATGATGATCACCTGATGAGGATCATGGATTTGACATGCAGCCAGTACACTTGGAGTGTTACACACAGACTTTCTATCTGTGTGTGTGTGTGTGTGTGTGTGGAAATAATAGAAGCGAGGCATATGCAGCAGGTAAAGTTCTAATATTCTCATTATTATACAGTACAGCAGTACTCTAAACTATACTGTAGAGCTAGTACAATACCTTCAAGGTTGGTCGGTCTACAACAATCTCTCGCTGTGTCTCCTGGAACCGCCTCTCAAAGAACGGGTCCTTGTAGAACCAGATACTGGCGGGTCCCCTTCGGTCCTCCTGATGCATGTGCAGAATACGGATGCAAGGATAAACAAAATAATATAAGGAGATGCGCGAGGAGGGCGTGAGTAGAACAGTGAAACGTTTTAAACAAATGATGAAATAAAACACGTACTGGTGTGCCGTTGATTTTTGCTCTGTCAATGAATTGGTTCACTTACGGTAAAGTTGAAGGACCGGAACACGTTGGCAGCCACAATGTCTGTGGTGGCCACGGCGCCGATCGACACAGCCCGTCTGGAATCGCACAGCATCCCCTGCGGATGAGCCGACTCATCTTCCAATAAGTCATGGATGTTGCCATCATTATCATTCTCCTCCTCCTCCTCCTTCTTCTTCCTCTTCTTCTTCTTCTTGCGGCTGATGACGTGATGACGCCATGATGTTGATGATGATGCAGTCTCGTGCTTATAGCCGTCGTCATCATCCGTGATGTGATTCATCATTGTCAGGTCGACGGGCACGTGCTGTGGCAGTCGGAGCCAATTAAACTCGACCTGTTGTTTTTCTTGTAGGGGCTGCTGTTTTCTGCCAAGTGCCAGCAGTCATTCAACACGTTGGAGCAAATAAGTCACACACTCGTTGATTCAATAATGGCAGAATCATTTTTACCCCCCGCCCCAACTTGAAAAAAGAAAGAAAGAAAGAAAGCGAGAGAAACTCACAACGACAAATCATCTGACCCATCCAACAGGGCCATGCCGTCGTGCACATTCTTGAGGAGGCAGCCTGCGAGCAGCAAGGACGCCAGCACCACCACCAACCACCGGCCCAGCATCCCTGACCTCCAGCGCATCTGCAGCAGCAACAGGCGGGGGTCAAGGAAAAGGGACCCCCGTCGCCAGCACAGTCCGAGAGTCGCCAGCACAAGCCGCCGGCTGCAAACGCCACTTGTCGTCGTCCATGCCATTTATTTCCCCTGCACTAACAAACACCAATGAGCAATAATGCGTATTCTCTTCTATCCAGCTACTGCTGCTTCTTCTTCTTCTTCCTATAATCGTCGTCAAGCCAGAGCACCAAACCCAGGCAGCAGGCACAGCACACGCACACCGCAGCAGAAACAAGAGAGAATGAGATATATATATATATATATATATATATAACATATAAATCAACTGTTTCTTCTTCTCATCTTCTCGTCCAGTCTCAACCACGTAAACATGACGCAACACGTATGAAATAAGTGTAGAAAAAAAAAACAAAAGAAAATCAGGACGGGATGGCAGAGGAATGTAACTAATCATGAGAAGTTGTCAAATCCTCTCACAAAGGAAAAGGAAGCAATTATCTATGCTTCCATGATTTCCGTTTCTAGGCTTTCAAAATGGTTTCTTCTGAAACTTCCAAAAAGGGTATTCCGCAAGTTAATGTATTTCTAAGATAACAATATATAACATATAAATCAACTGTTTCTTCTTCTCATCTTCTCGTCCAGTCTCAACCAGGTAAACATGATGCAACACATATGAAATAAGTGTAGAAAAAAACAAACAAAAGAAAATCAGGACGGGATGGCGGAGGAAAATTGATAGGATGAACCTAATGCAGGATCTGTGTTTCTCCTTTGAAAAGTTCGAATGAAAAAGGGTATACAGTACTGTAGAGGAAAGGGGGATATAGGGACAAAAGAGTGATTAAATGATCCTTTGTGCAGCAGGAAAATGCCGGGATGAAATCCACCCAACGATCAATGACACATTGTTTTGCAGCATTATTATGCAAAACAACGGTTGTTCCGGAATTCAGCTACAGCAGACACTTGTGTAATGGCCTCCGCGCGTTGCCTGTATAAGCACACGTAAAACCCTCCTAGCACAGCACAGGCATTATTCAGGTATGGGACCAACTGCCTTTATTTGGACTTGACGTTTATTGCGCATATTATTGCAGGGCGACAAAAGATAATTTTGTATTGCAGCAGTACTGTACTCATGGGATAACTGAATGAAAGTTGGAGCTCTACGCATGCCGTCAAGTTCTGGATAATATTGATCCCTAACAAATTGGAAGTAAAAAATAAATAAAATAAAATAAAAGGAGCAGTAGGAACTTTGCCTTGGGTTCTTGCTGGCCTGTCTCCCTTTATATACAAGACAACACTGTATAGAGAGACAAATTCTCTCTTGACGTTATTACATCAATTTTCAGGGATTAAAAGGAATAAAAAATACAGTATTATTCACAGCAGCCAAATCCAGGACCAAAAATATGTCATTTTGAACAATTTTCAAAATCAGCTTGGACGAAAGCCGCAGACCAAGTAAATTGTTTTTGCCTATTTCACCGCCCTGCTGAGAGTTTTTGTTTTGCCTCAGGAATTCCACTTTTGCTGTTGTCCTCGTGTACGTTTTCTACATGTTTGTGTGTGTGTGTTGATTATCTAGCATGGAATGAGGATGAGTCTGCATACTTTGCCAGCACAAACCATCGTCAGTCATCCATCCTTCCTCCATGTATAGGCATATCTGCTTGGATATACAGTACAGTACTGTACTGTATATCAGTGCCACTACACAATACAAGTGATGAGCAATTCGAACAAGGAGAAGCATCAAGGATGACCTGGGATTGCCTTGCGTGCATTTTCAGCAGCAGCAGTTGAATGTGATAACTACTGTACAGCAGTAATCTCATTGCACAGCAGCAGTTGTGTTCATCTTTTCATATTCCAAAATACGTTCTATGTACGCAATGACAAGGGATATATATTATTGAGTATGTAGGACAAGTATATATCATATTGTATTGGTACACCACAGTACGTATACGTACAGTATACAGTTTACGTAAATAATAGCAAGGGAAGAATTGCAACAATGACTTGCAACAAGATGTTGGTTGAATAGTTCAATAGAGCTTGGCAGGACATCAGAGCACCATATATATTTCATTTGTATTTCACTTCTTCCCAACAATCTCCATGCACACCACGTTTAAGGTTATTTTTTGCTTTTTTAAAACGTGGTTTTTTAGATTAATTTTTTAATCTACTGAATTTTTTTGTGCTTTTTAAAAGGATATTTTTTCCTTTTTCAAAACGTGGTTTTTTAGATTAATTTTTTAATCTACTGAATTTTTTGTGCTTTTTAGTCTTACTTGAAAAACATGGTTTTTTAGATTAATTTTTTAATCTACTATAATTATTCATCTGTATAGCAGTGAAGTTCTCATTCTCATTTTGATGAGTTTGTGATTTTTGATGACTTCTGCTTGTTATATTCAGGAAATGGGAGCTTGCAACTTGCTGAGAAATGACCAATGATGATAGTGATGGCTGTCCATTGGGATAATTAATGAGGGGAAATTTTCATTGGAACCCAATCTTCCCAAAGAAATTTACATGCATGGGGTTTTGGGATCCATGAGGATGGCAACCAGCATGAAAGCATTGGGATTTGGGAGAGGAGCAACATTGTCCTTTTCATTCCTTTTTTTTTTTTTTTGCTTCCATCTTTCACACTCGCCTCCTACATTTTGAATATTTGTGCACCCTATTGGAGGTAGCCTGAAGTTTTCCAGGTAAACAACTGGCCCTGTGCCACATTTCTCCCTTGAAAAAAAAACAGCCCTGGAGTATGGTGGATCAATGGAGGGATTGGCCCGACAATTTTCATTGAACTGGTTATTGTGACCAGCATACAGTGGCACTTGGGGACCATGAAACTACATACCGCTTGAAAGGGAATAGCATAAGCTTTCTTTCAACGTGTTTTCACTGCAGCAGATAGATTTGCTATCAAGCTATCTCAAGTCAAAAATCGGTTCACTTTGTTTCTGGTCCACCTCGTAATGTATATGTGTATACTGTATAAGGCACACACACCAAGTGGCGATGCTTTCAAACCAATTGGAAAGGAGTCGGGAATATTCAAGCATATGTAGCCACGCCCCAAATTGCGTTCAAGAGACTCAGTTATTAAGTACAGTATGGCAGTAATATAATCTCAAACTGTACTTGTATCAACAGATGCCAGGAGAAGGTGAGGAATCCACTGCAACCAAAAGTGATGGGCAGAGTCTGCACCGCTTGGGTCAGCAACATGATCTTGAATACCGAAAGGATTCCATATTGGTCACCAGTCGTGTCTCTTTTATTTTTTATTATTTATTATTTATTTTTTTTTTTTTTGCTCTTCAGGTTTTCTGCAGGATGTGCATGCATAGCGTAAGTAGAGTACATTATAAATGGCGGTGTACCTCGCGAATCTGGGGTTCCGACAAGCGGGCCACATCTGCCCTGAGAAGAAGTTCAGCAGTTCTTCCGTCCTGTAAAATAATGCATGAATATCATAAATATGGCGGCGAGAATATCGATTACAGCTCATCTGTACGCAGTGCTGTATGATGAAAGGATAACAAAAACAAGCAAATTTTCTTTTTCCACAGAAAAGAAGAAGGAAGGAAAAAAAACGAGTGCAATATTTACTGCGAATAACGCTTGGAATATCTATCTATCTTCTATCTATCTATCTATAATAATAAAGTTGCGTCCTGTCCTATGCACCAACTTTCAGCAGGTTTTGGCCCCAAAAAAAAAAAAAACTTATGGAGCAGGGAACCAGTCCCGGAGGTACCCGGTTCAATCCCACCTCCAGGCAGATTTTTTTTTTAGAAATCATTCCCTTTTTTTATTCATAACTTGCTCAATTTTCAAGTTATTTCAGCCAAAAAAAATTGTAAATTTGTAAAAATGCATTGTGTATCCAGCAAAGTTTTAACAATTTTAATTGCTGCAAAACATAAAATGTTATGAGGAGTTGAACTTGAAAGTCTGACTTTTTTCGTTTCCTATGGTTTTGACTTCAGAAATTCGTCAAACATTCAATTTCAACTCAATTTCCTCAATTTCCCTGTGGGAAAATGAGGAAGGATTATAAACAATGAAATTGAATTGAATTGAATTGAATTGAAGGGGACAATAAGAGGAGGAGCAGATGATGAGAGCTTAATTCCGAAGTAGAAGAAGGAGACCACACTGCAGTTACTCGCTGTATTATTATATACAGTATACATGCAGCTAGCTATGGGTTTATTTACTCGTTCCTGCCTCCATCATCGTCTGCTGATTGCTTGCATCCCGTTGTCGATGACACGCCCGGCACGTGTTTATTGTGTCTCTCATCGATGATCCGTCACAGTTTCATCATTTTCTCCACATAATCACATATCCCGGCCGGTTTCTTTCTTTTCATGCGCTTTTCCTCCTTTGATTCATCATTGAATAACCAGCATCACGCGCAGCAGACACATCATGGATTATAGTTGCTTGGATTGAATGAAAAGCAGGGAATATATGCCCCTAAAATGTATATAAAGCAGTACAGTACTGTACTGTACATGCAATTTTGAATATTCTTGTAACTGGATCCTCATGCATATACAGTATACTGCTGTACTGTACATTACAATATGGTCCATCCAGCAGCTAGTTGTCGGTCTTTCAGTAATCACAGTAATCAGAATCAAGCTGAACAGCACCATTAGAAAAGTGTTCGATATGCCCCGGGTTATACACGCACCACCAGTGTGCTGCTTTCATTATACTCTACAGTATATAGGGATGGCACACAATTAAATGGTTCGTCTTTATTATATGCTGGATGCAAAAAAAATAAATAAATAAATAAAATAAAAATGCTGTCAGGTTGCCGGCCGTAAAGAAGCCTGCGCGGATATAGCTTGATTAAATCGAGTGCAATTCAAAACAGCAACGAGGCACGCCCGATAATTCGGTTCGAAATCACACCTGTCACAGAACAGACCGCGTACGTGTCAATAATGGCCAGTATCAGCCACAATAATAACTTCGCTGCTGCTGGTCCTATTTACTTGAAAAACAGAATAAATGCTCATTCCATCGATGCTATATTTTGTTTTTGTGTTGTTCGGGCAGTGGAAGAACTGAATTGAATCCTCTTTCCCTATATACGTACAGTATATACCACCATGCAGCGCAGCAGAATCATCGCCAACAAATAAATAAGAATTGTAACTTTCAACGATTAAATCCCCAGATTTATTTTTGAAGGTTGTACTTGTCCGGCACTGCAAGGATGATGATGAGAATTGTTAAAGAGAGACAGAGAACAATTGAATGTGCTGTGCTGCACAGTATATGAAAATAAGAATGATCATGAAGCCAGCAGAAGGCAAATATATAAGCAAGAAAAGGGAGCAGCAGCAACGCTGCATGGACATGAAGAACATATACATATATGCGCGTTGAATTTTTCTTTTCTTAGTACAGTGCGTACTACTGTACTGCACTGTATTTTCTCGTATTTACATGATTAAAACAGTCGGAAGAAACCTTATCAGTATATAGAATAAGCAATAAATTCTCAATGCCTTGATTCAATGATTCTTGGACACACGTAACGTATCCCGCAAAAATGAAGAGGATCGTCGAGAGCGCTGCTATTGAAGCCCCCCAATTTATTCCTGCGGATGCTCATGCAGCACTTTATTGTGGCTCATATGATGGAAACTTACAATACAATTTTCTACAGGTACAGAGTACATAAATGAGACAATGGAGACGACGTTACTGCTGTATATATAGTGTCTCGAGACCTTTTGTCCTTTCAATAAGCAACAGCCCCCCCGCCCAACAATGAGTAATGTCCTACAGTATAGCTTTTATGCTGCATCAGTTACTGTTTACGGGACAGACTCGCACCTCAATCCTATAAGTACTGTACTGTACTGCATACTGTACGAGTGCACTTCGTTAACGAGACTCTCGACGCGGTGCATATGTATGGCGCCCCTATATACAGTACTGATGTGACATTGTGCATTACAGTACATCAGCAAGTATATATAGTACAAGGGGGCCATATACAAGCAGACTTGCATCGAGCCAATAATGGGCTTATATTGGGAAGCATTTTCAGCGTGAATGATAATGAAGAAAATGTGAGGACGACGCTGGTTCTTCTTCTTTCTTTTTTCTGGTCGCATCGCAAGCATCCTGCTGTGCACAGAAGGAGGGTAGGAAGGCAAGCATCAGTAGCCCTCACGTCAAATATCAGACGCAAGTTTAAAAGTAAAAAAAAAAAAAAGGCAGACATATAGGCACGAATGAGTGCAGTACTACTGGACTGTACATTGTTCGGTATGCATCATAGTACGTAGAGTATTGCATATGTATATTGCTGCAGTAGTGCTCGATATATATGTATGAGCGGACGATGAGAAGCATCGGCAGAAGAAATGTCGTTCCTCTCTATCGATATTTTTCTTTTTCATTTTTGATTGTTGGATTGCGATGAGTATATATATATATATATATATATATATATATGTACCGTAGAGTGCATACATGACCAAGTGCTTCATGTCTACAGCACCACAAAGTCCAGGTGACCGCAGTAGCACAGACAGACAGACTCACTCATTCACTCACTCTTGATGAGAAATATGCTTGCAAAGAAATAGTGCATTATTCTGTGCATGCATGCACGAATTGATGCTGGCTGTCTTGAAATTAGTCTACAGTACTGCTAGCTGCACTTGAATTGAGTCACGATCATCATATAAGATATATTCACTGGAGCGCATAATATGTACCTTATGTGGCATTATCCTCATCGTGGAATCCAGGCTCGTGGCAATACAAGTGCAGTACAGTACTGTAAAAGAGCCGCATCACACTTGAATAACTAGCACTGGCTTGCACGTGCAATATACAGTACAGTACGTATATATATATATATGTTGCTGTGTACTATGCTGATGCAACAGCACAGGCATTATTCGAAATGAAATCCAACCAATGAGTTTCATTCCCAGCGCTCTATACTGTACTTGCAGTCGAAACACGGCCGGCACGTATTACATCATCAGTACAGTACAGTACAGTACCGTACAGTACAGTACATGCAGATCTTGAAATTATTTTGATTGAGGATGTATATGAGCATGCTGCTGCATCAGTCGGAAATGACATTGTATGTGTGATGGAAGCAGGGAATGCGTGAGGCAGCATGGAACATCATATATAGCAGTGTATAGCAGTTTAGCAATGCTGACGAAAGATCAAAGGAGGATAAAATAGCCGATGTGAGAGGAGAGACAAATAGTTTCCTTTCGGTCGGCAAGTTATACATGATGGACTGATTCTTTATTAAACTTGCCCTCTTATTTTTTCTTCTTCTTTACATATGCCGGTGTATGCACCATATATACTCTACTGTACTTGTATACACTACATGTATGTATGTATGTATGTATGTATGCGGGGTCATGGGAAGTCAGGTCAAGTGGTCACCAGCAGCACACCGCCTATTGCCAGCAGAGGATGTCCCTGCGGTGTCCTCCTCCGAATACGAGGCGGTTCCCCCCCCCCCCTTTCCTTTCCTGTCCTCCTTCTCTTCTTTATCTGGCTATCCAGGCAGCAGCAGTTGATCCCTGCGTTGGAGGTTGTGCACGGAATTTCAATCAGGCTCTTTCTCTCTCTCTCTCTCTCTCTCTCTCTCTCTCTCTCTCTTTCTCGAGAAAGGAAGGGGAGAGAGAGAGAGAGAGAGCATGTCACAAAGGGCTAAGTGCTGCTGCTGGCGACGGAGGGTGCTGTGCACTGCCTGTTCCTGCTGCTGCTTTGCACTTTTCTATGTATGCTGGGGGTTGACTCGAGAGTCGAGGCTGAGATGAGGGGTCACCCTCGATCGTCGCGCGTCGTTCACCGCAACCAGAAAAGAGGCGTATATATATATATATATATACACCGTATATAGTGACGCATGCATGCATGTATAGTACAGCAATGCTGTATAGTTTGAGGAAAACTCTGGACTGGGCCCTTGTTTATTCTTGGAATTCTCCTCCTTCTTCTTCTTCTTCTTCTTTCCTCTCATCATCGAAACTTGCTTTATATATAGACTCGAACCAGCAGGAGAGAAAAGAAAGAAAGAAAGAAAGAAATCCTCCTTTATTTTCGTATTGTGTCCCAGAAATACAAGTTCGGACGCAGTCTCGCAGAAAATGCTGAGCATCGTTTCCAAGCGCGTCATATATACTCGCGTATTATATACAAAGGAGGCGGCCGCGAAACTTTCTTCATCGTACGATGATCAAGACCGCGACAGCAAGCATTATTATTGTACTGTACTTGTCTGCTGCCGGTCCGTCAAATATACATTGTACAATATATAGAGTCGTCGTCTGTCCTTTTCTCATCACACACTCCAGCATGTTCAGTGTATATACTGTAGTACAATATTTAGTTACTTATATATATAGTTGCTGGCCGTGCAGACAATGAAACGCGGCCATTTGGCCAGAAAGACCGATATACTCTGTATATACTACTGTATACAGAATAATATAGCGCATACAGCAGCAGTACTTTATTTATTTATTTTTATTTTTTCAAATAAACGGGTTTCATCCTTGTGTTTCTCGGTAACGAACCAAACAATAATAATAAGAAATCCTTTATTATACTCTGTTCGTTCTGC